GTTTCTAAATTATTGTTGTCTTTATTTTGGTTGTGTGAGGAGGCACAGTGTGTCTACCTATGCCTCCGTCTTGGCCAGAAGTCGAGGAATCATTTTTTAAATTTATTTATTTATTTTTTTTGCTGCTGTGCTTGGGTGTTTTTTCTATCTTGTCTTTCAAAATAGTGATCCTCAGATGATCCTCTGCTTCATCTTACCTGCTGTTTATACCTTCTAGTGTGTTATTTTTTCTTGACTTTATTTTTTTAATATTCAGTATACAATTATTTTTAATAAAAATTCTCAATTTTGTGATCAGTGTGCTATAGTAGACAAGCTCATAAGTTGGAAGTGGGAAGGTAATGTCTCATAATCTTTCCAGAATGCAATTTATTTATTTATTTTGCTTTTCTAAAAATTGTTAAGTATGCAAGAGCATGGTGGAACTGGAGAGCATTATGCTAAGTAAATAAGCCAGGCAAAGATAAGTACCATACAATCAAGCCTCCTGACTTTAAATCTAGTGAGTTTTCCACACCTGCATTGTTCTTGATCATTGAGGTGATTAGAATCCTCTTGGGTTCATTCATAATTATTTGATAAAGTTCTAGGTTCTACTTCACACCTAACAAAGCAGAATCTGTCACTCCTTACATACTCCAGTTGAGAACCAAAGTTGAAAACCATTGCACTTCATCTAAAGTAATGATTTTTATCATAAGAAAAGAATATAACATATTTTGCTATGTATAATGTGCACTTTTTTGCTCAAATTTTCGAGGGAAAAATAAGGATGCATATTATACATGGGTGGTACAAGTAAATAAAATTTCTTGTACATTGTATCTGTTCTTGTGTTTTATGTAGTTATTTTGTAATGATTTTTGTTATTATGTAACAAATAATTTTATGTAGTTATTTGTTACATAAAAATTTTGTACCATAATATGCTAAAAAATAAATGCTAAGATTCCTTTATAATACAGAAAAACAAGTATCTAAATGTAAATTAAAAATTAAATTAAAAAATCAAAGTATAAGATTTTTTTCCTGGAAGTTTGAGCCAAAAGCATGGGTGCACATTATACACAGAAAAATATGATAATCAAAGATTCTCTTCTCCATCTTTTTATTTTATTTTATTTTTTAATTTTATTGTTGTTCAAGTACAGTTGTCTGCATTTTACCCCCAAACACTACCCTCAACCCAAGCCATCCCCACCTCTTTCCCGTGATCCCACCCTGCCTTGGTTTTGTCCATGTGTCCTTTATGGTTGTTCCTGAAAACGCTTTCCCCCTTCTAGTGTATTATTTATTTCAGATATGCATTCTTTATTTTCGACTGGTTCTTTTTTATTGTTTCTATGTATTTTATCATGCTGTTGATAGAGAGTTTATCATGCTCTAAGCTCTCTATCTGATAAATTGCTTGCTTCCATTTCATCTAGTTCTTCTATAGGATTCTCTTGTTCTTTCATTTGGGGTCTTTTTTGTTGTTGTCTTCCTATTTTGGCTGCTGCTTTGTATTTTTTTGCCTTAGCTACTAAACTAATCAGCTGTTAAACTTATTAGTTATTGATATAATCAAGCTGTAATCTGCAGCTGGACTTAAGCATCTCAGGGTGGGGCAGAGTAATTCCTCAGTGAGGCTATTGCTTTCCCTGAAGTGATGCCACTTGAAGAGGAAAGATCTTTACTTGAAGAGGAGTGCTCTGCCTGAGAAGGATGGCTTCTACAGTGTGGGGAATGACTCAGCACAGGGGTCCTGGTAGCTGTTCTTTGTGTTCTCTCCCCAGAGCCACTAGCCCAAGACTCTCCTCAAGAGTCTCTAGTCCACTCTGCCCTCCCTCTTCCAGAGCCCAGGGTAAATGTCTGCAAATGAAATTTTGTGTGTTGGCACTTTAAGAGGCTCTCTTTTTCTCCAGCTGTCTCTTCTTGGCAGACAGAAACCCTGCTGCTTTTCACAACTGGATGTTATCTGGGTTCCTTTCCAGCTCTGTTGCTATAGGCTGGGGAGCCCAGCTTAGGGTTTACACCTCACACTTCTTAGGGGGAACCCCTGGCCGCTGAAATGTCCCTCCAGAACTTCAGCTGCCACCTGTGGGAGCCTAGCCAGCCCTCTTCCACCACCTCCACATTCCCTACCAGTCTTGCTGTGGTGAAGTGGTTTCTTCTTTCTGACCTTCATTATAAGACTTCTGTCTAGCTTGTGCTCAGTTGGTTATTCCAGATGATTTCTGTACAATTTAGTTTTAATTCCAGAATGGTTCTGGGAGAAGGTTAGTGTAGCTTTCCCTTACTCCTCCTCCATCTTGGATTGTTACCCTTCATTTCTTCTGACTGATCTTTTTTTATGCTGTTGAAGTTCCCACTAAGTTCATTGAGCATCTTTATAATTGGTGTTTGAACTTGGTCTCTAGTAGATTGCTTGTCTCCATTTTGTTTAGTTCTTTTTCTGGAGTTTTGTTCTGTTCTTTTATTTGGGGCATGTTTCTTTGGCTCTTCATTTCGGTAGCCTCCCTGTGTTTGTTTCTATGTATTAGGTAGAGCTGCTATGTCTCCTGGGCTTGGTAGAGTGGTCTAATGCAGTAGGTGTTCTGTAGGTACTGTTTTTCTGTTCACCAGATTGGGCATTCTAGATGTGCCCCCTTTGTGGGCTGTATACACCCTCCTATTGTAGTTAAGTGTTGATTGTTGTTGGCACATGGTTGAAAGGTATTTACCCACCCATGCTGATTACCTACAAGCAATGGCTACAACCACTGACCACTCACCTCTGACCACTGTGGAGGATCAGTTGTGCTGGGGCTTACCCCACAGAGCAGGGCTTTAGCAGGACTCTGTTGCCTGCTGAGTCTGCCTCTTGAGTATGTTGCTTGTGGAGGTAGTTGGGTGGTGATACTTCAATGTGGTCTGTAGGTGTTCACTGGGTGTTTTTGCTCTGGGGCATCTTGTTAAGTACAGGCCATGGTTAACCACTGTCTGTGTTCTACCCCGGGGCTACCTGACATGAGCTACAAAGTGATGTGCAGATGGCTGCCACTTGTTCTGGGCTTGGAATTTGTAAATGTGGGGCTATCAGCAGTAAAATTGGCAGGGTGTTCACAGTGGCTGTGCTGGCTATTGGCTTCCTCAGCAGCAAAGGCTTTTGGGGTCTTCTGCACAGCAGGACAAAAAAAATCATGGTCACTCATGCCACATGACTGATACTTGTAGTTCCTGCTCTTCTTAGTTCTTAATTGTGTCTAGACTTCTCACCTATACCTATATAGTGGGTATAGTGAATCCATAGCAGGTCCTTTGTTCAAGGCCCTGAATGAGTGGGGAAAATTGTCACTCACCCTATTGTTTTTTTTCTCAGCAAGGGGAAGTCTTCCAGGCTTTGGAGTCCCCTCCTGTCACTGAGCGGTGTGGGCCTGAGAGATGAGCTAGCTGATGCAGGCAAAATAAACTATACTTCCTGTTCATTTTGTATAGTTATTCTAATGTTTTTTTTCTCCATTCTGTTGCTGATTTTCTAGAGTAAACTCCTGAGCTCTTCCAGATCTATTTTTGTGTGTATAAATAGCTGTCTAATTGTTTGGGGTTTTTTTTTGGGGGGGGGGAGGTTGGGCATTGAAGGCAGGAGGCTTCTACTTCACAAAGTGATGTTACTCCAGGCTTTTCTCATTATGATATTACACAGAGGTTTTGTAGATGGCTTTTATCAAGTTGAGGAAGTTTCCCTTCTTTTCTAGTTGGTGAGAGTTTTTTAAAAAATCATAAATGTGTATTTGAGATGTCCATTTAAAAAAATACAGTGTTAGAAAAACGAAAGAAAAGTGTCAAGCAGGTTGGCTTGATAGTCCAGTCCCAAACTGAGAAATAGAATTACCCCTTTCTTTTTTCTTCTGTCTCTGGTGGGAAAATATAAGGGAAGAGGATTTCCATGTATTGTATCATATGTTTTTCCAGAATAGAAAAAGATTCCTTATCTTTTAAGTATTTTCTTCTATTTTATAAAAAGTCACAATATTAGACATCCCCTTTTCAAGCTGTTCATGCTGTAGATATAAGTAAAGATAGAACTGATTGAGTTTGACAGGGCTCCCTGGCTATCTGTCAAGAATTCCTTTTTATCCTGCACAGCTCTGGAGAATGTATCGGGTTGGCCAAAAAGTTCATTAGGTTTTTCCCATTAGGTGGCTCTGGTAGTGTTTAGTTGTCTTTAACTTGATTCAAAACAATTTTGTTAGATTGTATTGTGACAGCTGTCATATCAGCATGCATTTTCAAAAAAACTTATCAAAATTGGGGAATTTTTGTGTAGCCATTTTAATATTGAGGATGGAAGAAAAGATGCAACACTTTTTGGTATATTACGCTTTATTATTTCAAGAAAAGTAAAAATGCAACTCAAACACAGGCAAAAGATTTGTGCAGTGTATGGAGAAGGTGCCATGACAGATTGAATGTGTCAAAAGTGGTTTGCAGACTTTCATGCTGGAGATTTCTTGCTAAACAGACAATGCTTCATGGTCGGGTAGACCAGTTGAAGTTGATAGTCATCCAATTGAGACATTAATTGAGAACAGTCAATATTATACCACACAGGAGATAGCCAACATAGTGAAAATACCCAAATCAATAAAGTTATTGGTGAAAATGATAAATGTGTCTTATTTTACAGAAAAAAACACATGTGAACTTTCTGGCCAACCCAATAATATCTAATTATTGGGTTAATTATCTAATTAACTCCTATCTATTCCTCTGCAAGAGCAGTTTCCATACCACATGGGCCATTTGCCTTGAAAAAGAGATTGGAATATAAATGCTGGATATCACATCAAGTGACTGGATATCTCCTGCACCTTGATGAGATCCTAGACATTTGGGATAAGTATTCTGAGTATCTAGCATTGGGCCTGTTACTAAGTAGACAGTCACTAAATATTTGTTGAATAATTGATGCCCACTTAACAATTGTTAAGACCTCCAAAACTTATATAAGACAAAATGTCTTTTGCTTTCAATTCTAGACTCTTGGTCCAGTGGGGTTTATGAAAAGTGCCATCACTGTGGCTGAGGATGAAAACTGGAAGAGAATAAGAACATTGCTGTCTCCAACCTTCACTAGTGGAAAGCTCAAGGAGGTAAGTGTATAAGAGGGCATTTAATTTGAAACTTAAAGAATGTGTCTGGAGACAAGTAGAAAATAAGATAATTTCTTTCTAAGGGTAACCTACTGAATTTTAGCTTCCTAAAAAAAAAGGTCTTTTATCTTTATGTCCTAGAAATGACATTAATAAAATTCATTATAAAATATTTCTTACTGCTCCATGCTTGTGAAAGCCAGGTCCTTCTAGGACTTGGGTCTTCACCTTTAACTCCAAGTAGTGTTATTTTTTTGTGTCTAGATGTTCCCTATCATTGGCCAGTATGGAGATGTGTTGGTGAGGAATCTGAGGAAGGAAGCAGAGAAAGGCAAACCCATCAACTTGAAAGAGTGAGTAGGAGCCCAGATGCTAGGATTCTGAGCTCTTCCCCAAGACCCTCCAGCTGCCTTCCACAGAACCGAAATTCCCACTGCTGAGTTACTCTATGACCAAATAGAAGTAGGTGTGTGGTGTTAGAACTACAGTGGGCTACCCAAGAAGATGTGGCTCACCCATAAAGGCAGGTCAGCCAGGAGGGAAATGCCTTCTCTTGTGTATGTGAACCAGGATTAGTGTGTCTGCTTGATTGTCACCGTGGATATTCTGGAAGACAAAGATACATGGTTCAGAAAGAAGAAATGTGATTATACCAAAGGGTCCAGTGTAGAGAGTGTGAAATAGTAGTACCAGGGGAAGATACTGGTACCTATTGGTGGGCAGTGGGTGGGGCAGAGAAGTTACAATGTGGAAATTGGAACAACTTAAACCCCTTAATGAGTTTGGTGAGGACACCAGCAAAATACTAAACATTAAATTTTACCACCACTTCTTTCTTTAATCTAAAAGAGAGAAGGTCCTGTACAGACTATGGGGTAGGGTGGCCATATTATTTATTGTCTAACATAAGGCTTTCAAAAAATTATGCAGGAACAATAGATGTAAATTGAGACTGGTCTGGGAAACCTGGGGACATATGATCACTTACCTATGGGATTTCCCCAAATTGATTTTGGAGTGACTTATTATTATGACTTTTAAAACCAGGAGCATTCTTAGTTCTTATGTTTCACATAAATGAGCCCTGGCTGATGTGGCTCAGTGGATTGAGTGATAGCCTGCATGCCAAAATGTCACTGATTTGATTCCCAGTCAGGGCACATGCCTGGGTCGCAGGATGGGTCCCCAGTAGGGGGTGTGTAACAGGCAACCACACATTGATGTGTTCCTTTAGTTCCCCCTTCCTTCCCCTCTTACTAAAAAGAAATAAAACCTATAGGAAAAAATCAAACAAATTATTCATTAAAAAAAAAAAAAGAAATGAATCTGCCCTCGGGGCAACCTCAGATCACTGGAGTTCAGGAGAGTGGGTCTTTCTAGAGCTTTAGCAAGAGTGTAGAGAAGCAGGGATGACATTTCTGGCAACTCAGACCAGGATGCTGCTCTTCTGTAATGTGCTGAAGAGGAATCAGCTTTGAGTATACATACCACAATGGGGCAAGACCTAGATCGCTGTCACTTTTTTTGCTTCCACTAGGAAGAGCTCATTATCTACCCTTTGTCCTACTCAAACACAGGACAACTGCTGTTGTCCAGACTCAAAACATACTATTGTAGTTTGTCTGATTATGGGTCTCCATCCCTCTGACTAATCTCCCTGTGCTCACAGGTGGGTCTAAGTTGCCTTGGTATCCCCACAACCCCAGCACAGGACCAGCTGCATCACTCACACCTGATAAGTACCTCATGATTGTGTCAGGAGCATAGATTTTTCAGATGATCCAGTTGACGGTTTTGACAGTTGTGTGGCTCTTTACCTGTCTTTCCTGAGTATATGAATTTACATTCCCTCCTTGTTGTACGTGTTGAATAAGGCTAGTAAAGATTTGCTGATTTTAATTTTCCATGTCTTTGTTTCTCTGCTCAGCATCTTTGGGGCCTACAGCATGGATGTGATTACTAGCACATCATTTGGAGTGAACATCGATTCCCTCAACAACCCACAAGATCCTTTTGTGGAACATATCAAGATACTCCTAAAATTTAATTTATTTGATCCACTGCTTCTCTCAATAAGTATGCGGGCTACTATGTTTCTCTTTCTCTCTCCCTCCTTATGTCCCTTCCTTCCACACCCCCCTCCTTCTCTTCTCTCCTCTCCCACCCTACCAGCATCCCTTCCTTTCATTTTTTAAAAAATTTATTGAGATATAATTAACATGCTACATAATTCATCCATTTAAAATGTGCAGTTCTATCATTTTTACAACCCAGTGTCCATCAAGAGATAAATGTATTAAAAATACCATATGTAAACACACACAATAGAGTACTATTCAGCTATGGTGCTGCCATTTGCAGCATGAATGGACCTTGACAACATTATGATAAGTTGACTAAGTAAGAGAGAGACAAATACTGTGTGATCTCACTTATATGTGGGATCTAAAAATACAGCCAAACTCAGAAGAATGAGTACTGATTTGTGATTATCAAGACAGGGGTTAAGGGTGGGAGAATTGGATGAAGGTGGTTAAAAGGTATAAATTTTCAGTTATACAATCAATAGGAGTGTAGATTCTAAAAGTTCCCATCACAAGGGAGAAAACAATTTTTTAGCTATATAAGGTGATTGATATCAACTAAACTTATGGTGGTAATTATTTCACAATCTGTGTATGTCAAGTTAGTATGCTGTATATACCTTAAACTTATACAGTACTGTATTTCAATTACTCAATAAACTCAATAATTTTTATACTTTCAAAGATATGTGCAACCATCATGGCATCATTTGTTAGAACATTTTTGCCAACTTAGAAACCCTGTACCTTTTCATTTTCACCTGCTGCTACCTTTAGCTATTAGCAATCACTATCTTAGTTTTCGCCTTTCCGAATTTGTGTGTGCTGGACATTTCATATATATGGAATCACATAATTTGTGGTCTTTTGTGTCTGGCTTCTTTAACTTAGCATAACGTTTTCAAAGTTTCCCATGTTGTAGCATGTATCAGTACTTCATTTCTTATTATGGCCAAATAACAATCTAGTGGATTGTGTATATTCTAACATTCTCATTTTTTTATCCATTCATTAGTTGATGGATATTTGGGTGGTTTCTACCTTGGCTATTGTAAATAGTACTACTGTGAACATTTATGTACAATAATTTTTTTTGTGTGTACCTGTTTCAATTCTTTTGGGTTTCTCTTGGCTTTGATTATTCTACTCAGGGATGAAATTTCTGAATGGTATAGTAATTCTGTATATAACTTAATAAGGAACTGCCAAACTCTTTTTCACACTAGCTATACCATTTTATAGTCCCATCAGTAATGTATGAAGGTTCCAGTTTCTCCACAACCTCACCAATGCTTGGTTGACATTTTCTCTGTTTTTGATTATGGCCATTCTAGTGGGTATAAAATGGTATCTCATTGTGGTTTTGATTTGCATTTCCCTAAAGACTAAGGATATTGAGTAACTTTTTACATGTTTTGGGGCCATTTTTATATCTTTTTTAGATAAATGTGTATTAAAATTATTTGCCCACATATAGTTAGTTGGGTTGTTTCTTTTTGTTGTTAAATCATAAGAGTTCTTTATTTATTATAGATAAAATTTCTTATTAGATATGTGATTTGAAAAGTGTTTCCTATTCTGTGTCCTTTACTTTCTTGATATGTGTCCTTTAAAAGATAAAATTTTTAATTTTGATAGTGTACAATTATATATTTTTTTCTTTCATTGACTGTGCTTTGGTGTCATATTTAAGAATCCACTGCCAAAACTGTCATGAATAATTACTCCTTTGGTTTTCTTATAAATGTATATATTTTAGCATTTATTTTTAGTTCTTTGATCCATTTTAATATTGTTTTTATATATGATGTAAGAGTTCAACTTCATTCTTTTGTGTGTAGCTATCTAGTTGTGACAGCACCATTTATTAAAATGATATTTTCATAATGAATCATCTTGGAACCCTGCTCAGAGTTCAGTTGACCATAAGCACAGGGGTTTATTTCTGGACTCTAAATTATACTCCATTGATCTGTATGCCAGTCCTTATGCCAGTACCACATTGCACTGATTATTATAGATTTGTGGTAAGATTTGAAATCTGGAATTGGAGTTCTGCTACTTAAAGTTTTTTTCCCCCAGATTTGTTCTAACTATTCTGGGTCCCTTTCAATTTCATAAAATTTAAAATTTATCTGGTTAGTTTGTACAAAGAATTGTAGAAGCTAGGATTCTAATAGGAAATGCATTAAAACTGTAGATTGATTTAGGGAGTTTTGCCTTTTTTGGCAATATTAAATTTCCTGTTGGGAGAACATGGATGTTTTTCTATTTACTTAGATCTTTAATTTATTTCAACAATGTTTTGCAGTTTTCAGAGTACAAGTTTTGCATTTGTTTCATTAAAGATTTTTTACTAAAAGGCAGAAAACTGTACTTGAACAACAATTAAAATGGAAAAAATTAAGTGTTTTAAGTACTAAGTATTGGTTTTAAGTATATATTCTAAGTATTCTGTTTTTCTGTATGTTGTGAATTGAACTATTAATTTCACTTTTAGATTGTTTATTGCAGTTTGTAGAAATACAATTGATCTTGTTTTTTGAATTTCTACTGAAACTATAATTAGTTCTAATAGGTTTTTAGTGGATTTTTAAGGATTTCTATATACAAGATTACACTATCTGATGAAAGAGATAGTTTTACTCCTTCATTTCATATATCAATACCCTTTTTTTTTCTTGTGTGTTTCCACTGGTCAGAGCCTCTACTACAATGTTAAATAGAATAGGTGAGAGAGGCATCCTTGCCTGGGTCCTAAACTTAGGGGAAGCATTCAGGCTTTCACTATTAAGTATGGTGTTAGCTATGGGTTTTTCATAGATGTCCTTCATTAGGCTGGGGAAATTTCTTTCTATTCTTATTTTGTTAAGTGCTTTTTAAAAATTACAAAATGGTATTGGAATTTGTCAAATGCTTTTTCCATATCTACTGAGAACATCATATGGTTTTTGTTTTTTATTCTATTGATATGGTATATTATACAACTTGCTAGCCTGGGATAAACCCCAAATGATTATGGTGCATACTTCTTTTCATATTTCTGGATTGAGTTTGCTAGTATTTTGTTAAGGATTAATGCATCTATGTTCATAAGATATGCCCATCTGTAGCTTTCTTTTCCTGTGATATCTTTGTCTGGTTTTAGTATCAGGGTAATACTGGCCTTGTACAATGAGTTTAGAAGTGTTCATTTTCCTTTTACCTTTAGAAGAATTTGTAAAAATTAGTGTCTATTCTTCCTTAAACATTTGGTGGAATTCACCATTGAAGCCATCTGGACGTTAGCTTTCTTGGATGGGTAGTTGTTTGATTACTAATTCAATCTTATTACATGCTATAGGTTTATTCAGATTGTCTATTTCTTTTCTGAGGCAGTTTCTATAGTTTGTGTATTTATATAAATTTGTCCATATCATCTAAATTATCTGAATTGTTCATAATATTTCTATATAGTTCTTTTAAAAATATCACTAGTAATCTCCCTTTTTTCATTTTTCACACTAGTAATTGAAATGTTCTTTTTCTTTATTCTTGGTCAATTTATCTAAATGTCCTTAAAGAATCATCTTTTGATTTCAGTATTCTCTGTTGTTTTTATTCTTTATTTTATTAGTTTTTTTTCTCTCATCTGTATTATTTCCTTTAACTGTTTTCTTTGGTTTTGTTTGCTCTTTTTTCTCAATGTGTTAAGGGGGGAAATGTAGTTATCGATTTGAGATCTTTGTTTGTTTTTTTTAAGTGTAGGCATTTATAGCTATAAATTTCTCTCTGAGTGCCACTATTGTTACATCTATGAATTTCGGTATGTTATGTCTCAATTTGTATTAATCTCAAGGTAATTCCAAGTTACCCATTTGATTTCTTCTACAACCCATGGATTTTTAGAAGGCTATTTTTTGAATTTCCATGTATTAGTGAGTTTCCCAATTTTCTGTCTGCTATTGATTTCTAATTCCATTCCATTGTGGTCAAAAGACATACACCATATATTACTATCCTAACCACCAATTCATTAAAAAATATGTTTTGGCTAATATATTACTATACAATGCATATTTCTTATAAAATTTTCAAAAATATTAAAAAAACAAGTTTTATATTTAAAAAGTTTAAAAAACAATTAAATTTAAACAAAAATTTAATTATAGGTTTCTCACCTATAATTAAACACTCAGATACAATCATTGTTGACATTTTGGTGTCTAGTGTTCTACTGTGTCCATGCATGTGCATCTGACTACTTCTTGAACACTGAGATTAATTAAAGTCTCAGACTCTGGTCTAGTTTATTCAAGGACAGTCTTGTTCAATAGATAAAATGCAAAGCCATTCAGGAATGTAATACTGTTTCTTTAGTCACCCAAAAGATGAGAAAGGGGCTGCCGATCTCACTGCTACTGTGATGGTCCTTGTATGTGGACTTGCCCTTGCTCAGCCATGGGCTTAGAAGTCTGAGCAAAGGTCATAGAGGGAATGGCTCCTTGCTAAGAAGCCTGGTGTCTTTTACTGTTCAGATTAGAAGAGAAAATTATAATTGCTCCAGGTGTATTTGTATTTTCATTGTGCTTTCTTTTTTTCTTACAGTGCTCTTTCCATTCCTTACCCCAATTTTTGAAGTATTAAATATTCATCTGTTTCCAAAAAGTGTTACTGATTTTTTCATAAAAACTGTAGAAAGAATGAAAGAAAGTCGCCTCCAAGATAAACAAAAGGTAAAATCTGGTGGTGGTTACATGAAAGTGTTCCCTTTTTGATAATTTATTGAGCTGTATACATATAATTTGTGCACTTCTCTTATTTTGGATGGGTAGAGAACTCTAGGTTTATAGGATGAAAGTTATATAAAATTTTGTAGGGAATAAAGAAGGTAGAGTTTGGGAAAGGAAAAAGGAAAATGAGTCAGAGAGACAATGTTTGAAATATAACAATGGTTAGTATGTCACCACATGAAAATTTTTGAGATTTTTTTCACATAAAACATACAACTTCCTTTCAATAAATTATGAAAAAAAGAAGTGCTATTTTACAATTATTTTTCTTGTATTCTCATTTCCCCAGGCCTTAAACTGGCACAGAATCATCACTTCCAAGCCTCTTACTTTACACATTCTGCAATGAAGGCCCCATGAGGCACCTGACAGAGTGTACACACTCTGTTAAGTCTGAGCCTGCTCAGAGACCGAGAGGGCAGGAGTCTTCTCTGGGCCTTGAGGTTACAAGCTGGCCAACCCAGCTTTGCCTTCATGGACCTGGAGGCCAGCACAAGAATGTCTGCAAGTCATGGTGATAGGGTTAGTTACCCCAGGATTTCACTGAACATTGTGGAGAGTTCTGGGATGGTGGGGCATTTGAAACTGATCACAGAAAAAGCACCAATAAACTCTTCAAGTGTTGGGAGGTTAATCTATGTGGCCATTAATGAAAAATTAAGGCTAGAAAAAAATTGAGGACAGCAATTTGTGTGCGTGTGTGTGTGTGTGTGTGTGTGTGAGAGAGAGTGTGTGTGTGTGAGCAAGCAGGTGTGACAAGAGAGAGAGAGCAGGCAGTTTTTGACCAGGAAACTGTGTTCAAAAGTGAGAGAAGCCAAAAATCAGAGAGAGTGAGGACCAGAAAGCAGTTGAATTTTGGCTGAATTTCTCCCAGAAGAATATCCTGCTCTCCGAGATTGGTAGCTGGATGTTTGTGCTCATTGATAACTCAGCAGTAGTAAGACTTCTGGACTTAAAGGGGCCTATTATACAGCATAGTGAATATAGTCAATAACATAGCAATACCTGTAGACCAGGTGGGTACTGGAAATGTTCAGGGGAACACCTTGTAAAGTATATGATTGTCTCACCACTATGTTGCATGCATAAGATAATACAAAATAGCATTGAATATAAGCTGTAATTGAAAAATACATTTGAGAAAAATACAGGGATCATAATATTAGAAAAAATACAGTACTGCACTCTTGATTTATTTCTGACTTCACAAGTGACTACGTCAATGTAATTTTTCCTTCTGCTTTCAGCACCGAGTGGATTTTTTGCAGCTGATGATTAACTCGCAGAATGCCAAAGAAATAGACTCCCATAAAGGTAAACAAGGCATGTTCAGAGGGCCAGGGATGGGGACACTCAAATGTTCTGAAAATGTGCATGAAGTTTTCTATGCAGATAAGAATTTCTGCCAAATTGAAGAATGGCAGATACTTGGGTATAAATGGTAGCCAGAGGCACTTTCTAGAAGCAGGAAGGTGTGACTTTATTCAAATCTTAAAGGGTACCATAAACAAGAATTTTATGCCCAGAAGTCAGTCAGTGGCCTGTGGTCACCTATATCAGAACCTCTGTGGAGCTTGTTTCCAATGTCTAGTCTCTGGCTTCATCCAGCAGCATGGACATTTGCATTATGACTTCATCAAATCAGGCAGGATGACTGGAGCTGAGCAATAAAAAAATAAATGTATGATTAAATTATTAAGTATTAGTAAGTATTAAATTATTAACTAAAATTTAATTATGAAAAAAGGGACTTCAGACATACTGCACCTCCTCACACAACCAAAAGAAGGACAACAACAAATTTTAAAACAAAAACAACCAGAAAATTGAACTGTATGGAAGTCTGACAACCAAGGAGTTAAAGAAGAAATATTCAACCAGACCAGTAGGAGGGGCAGAGACAGGCAGCCAAGTGGAGAGGACTCATGGCAAGGCAGCGGCTGGCAGACCACGGTGGGCAAGACTGTGGCTGGTGGGCAAGGTGGTGGCTGGTGAACCAGGCAAGGTGACAGATTGCAGATGGGTGGTCCCACATTCATGTGCAGATAAACCAGGAGGAACAACTAGAGAGTGAGACATACCACACAACCAAGAGTTCAAGCATGGAGAAATAAAGCCTCAAACCTCTGATTGAAAACACCAGTGGGAGTTGAGGCAACAGCAAGAGAAACTCGCAGCCTCACAGGATAGTTCATGGGAGAGACCCACAGGGTCCTAGGATGTACACAAACCCACCTGAGAATCAGCACCGGAAGGGCCTGATTTGATTGTGGGTAGCAGGGGAAGTGACTGGAAACCAGTGGAGAGTAGAGCAAGTGGCAGTGTTCCCTCTTGGACCCCTCCCATACAGACAGCATCACAATGTAGCAACATGGGTTGCCCTGCCCTGGTGAACACCTAAGGCTCTGCCCCTTACTAAGTAACAGGTGCACCAAGACAAAAAAAAATCGCCCAAATTAAAGAACAAGTCAAAGCTCCAGAAAAAATACCACTAAGCAACAAAGAGATAGCCAACCTATCAGATGCACAGTTCAAAACACTGGTAATCAGGATGCTCACAGAAATGGTTGAGTACAGGTAAAAAATAGAGGAAGAAGTGAAGGCTATGGAAATTGAAACGAAGAAAAATGTAGAGGGAACCAACAGTGAATGGCAGGAAACCAGGACTCAAGTCAACAGTTTGGAATAAAAGGAAGAACAAAAAGTTCAACCAGAGCAGAATGAAGAAAAAAGAATTCAAAAGAAATGAGGGAAGTCTTAGGAACCTCCAGGACAACTTTAAACATTCCAACATTCAAATCATAGGTGTACCAGAAGGAGAAGAGGAAGAGCAAGAAATTAAAAGCTTACTTGAAAAATAATGAAGGAACTTTCTCCAATCCAGAAATGGAAATAGACTTCCAGGAAGTCCAGGAAGCTCAGAGAGTCCCAAAGAAGTTGGACCCAAGGAAGCGCACACCCCACAGGAACATCATAATTACATTAACCAAGATTAAAAATAAAGAGAGAATCTTAAAAGCAGCAAGAGAAAAGGGGACAATTACCTACAAAGGAGTGCCCATAAGACTGTCAGCTGATTTCTCAAAAGAAACCTTTCAGGCAAGGAGGGACTTGAAAGAAGTATTCCAAGTCATGAGAGGCAAGGATCTACAACCAAGATTACTCCATCCAGCAAAGCTATCATTTAGAATGGAAGGGCAGATAAAGTGCTTCCCAGATAAGGTCAAGTTAAAGGATTTCATCATCACCAAGCCCTTATTATATGAAATGTTAAAGACATTTATCTAAGAAAAAGAAGATCAAAACTATGAACAGTAAAACAGCAACAAACTCACAGTTATTAGCAACTGAACCTAAAATGAAAACAAAAACAAACTAAGCAGACAACTACAACAGGAATAGAATCACAGAAATGGAGATCACATGGAGGGTTATCAGTGGGGGATTTGGTAGAGAAAGAGGGGGAAAATGTACAGAGAATAAGTAGCATAAATGGTAGGTAGAAAACAGACAGGGGGAGGTTAAGAATAGTATAGGAAATGTAGAAGCCAAAAAACTTATATGTATGACCCATGGGCATGAATTAAAAGGGAGGAATGTGGGTGGGAGGGGGTGTGCAGGGTGGAGGGGAATAAAGGGGGAAAATAGGTCAACTATAATAGCATAATCAATAAAACATGTGAAAAATTTGTGCGTTTACGTAATGGAATACTATGCAGCAGAAAGAAGGAGCTCCTACCATTTGCAATAGCATGGATATAACTGGAGAGCATTATACTAAGTGAAATAAGCCAGGCGGTGAAAAACAAATATCATATCATCTCAACTTTAAGTGGAACCTAATGAACAAAGCAAACAAGCAAATAAAGTATAGCCGGAGACATTGGAATTAAGAACAAGCAGACAGTAACCACAGGGGAGATGGGAGGGGATAATGGCAGGGGAGGATGAAGGGTTTTCAGGAACAACAATAAAGGACACACGGACAAAACCAAGGAGTGGTGAAATCAGGGGATCGAGGTGGAGATGGCTGGGGTAGGGGGAAAGGTGTGGGGAGAGGGCAGAAAACTGTACTTGAACAACAATAAAATAAAATTAAAAAGAGGGTAGGAAGGATGCTACTAGCCAGAAGACATACAATATTCACAAAGAGAAAGAAAAGACTTCATCGCATTAGGAAGCACATTGCACACCTTGCACATTGCGGGTGCCTTTACTTGGACTCTAAATTATATTCCATTGATTTAATGCCTGACTAAAATTGTGTTCACCAGCTTAAGCTGCTGTAAAGTTTTGTTTTTTATTTGTAATTAACAAGTAACTTGTGGGGATGCCTTTAGAACTAAAAAAATATTCTGTTCCTCTTCAAACCTTCACTTACTAGCTTTATCATCCATAGATTGTTTTTGATGGAATTATTATTACTGTGATTGTTGCAAAATGATGACTTTCTAATTTCATCATTTCTTCTACTTTTATGAGTTTATGTTCCACTGTAAGGGGGAGCTTTTCATTTTATCTTATTTATTTATTTGTGTTTTGTTTATATCAATATGATCTCATATACAGCATCCAGCACAAATAACACCCCTTTTTATTACAAAATCCTTTATTACAAAATCATAAGCATGTAATTCTGTACCATAACACTCAAGCACACCACATGACATTTTAGGTGAAATGTTCAAATTTCAGAGAAGCCAAAAATTCAAAAATTTATATGGAACCATAAATGACCCTGAGTAGTAGCTGCTCTTTTGAGAAAGAAGAACAAAGTAGGAGGGATCACAATACCTGATATCAAACTGTATTACAAGGCCACTGTAATCAAAACAGCCTGGTACTGGCATAAAAACAGGCACATAGACCAATGGAACAGAACAGAGAGCCCAGAAATAAACCCAACTCTTTACAGTCAATTAATATTCAACAAAGGGGGCAGTAACATAAAATGGAGTAAAGATAGCCTCTTCAACAAATGGTGTTGGGAGAACTGGAGGGCTACGTGCAAAAAAATGAAACTTGAGTACCAACTTACGCCATACATCAAAATAAATTCAAGGTGGATAAAAGACTTAAATATAAGCTATGAAACCATTAAAGTCCTAGAGGAGAACACTGGCAGGAAAATCTCAGATATTTCATGCAGCAGCATTTTTACTGATATGTCCCCTAGAGCAAGGGACATAAAGGAAAGAATAAACAAATGGCATCTCATCAAAATAAAAAGCTTCCGCATGGCTAAAGAAAACAGTATTAAGATAAAAAGAGAACCAACTGTATGGGAAAATATATTTGCCAATGATACCTCAGACAAGGGTTTAATCTCCAAAATATACAAAGAATTTACATGACTCCACTCTAAGAAGACAAGCAACCCAATTAAAAAGTGGCCAAAGGACTTGAACAGATACTTCCCCAAGGAGGATATATAGAGGATCCAGAGATACATGAAAAGATGCTCAATATCATTAGCTATCAGAGAGATGCAAATTAAAACCACAGTGAGATACCACTTTACACCAGTCAGAATGGCCATCATAAACAAAGCAACAAACAACAAGTGTTGGAGAGGTTGTGGGGAAAAGGGGACCCCAGTTCACTGTTGGTGGGGTTGCAGACTGGTACAACCACTATGGAAAACAGTGTGGAATTTTCTCAGAAAACTAAAAATGGATCTGCCTTTTGACCCAGCAATTCCACTGCTGGGATTATATCCCAAGAGCCCTAAAATACCAATCCAAAAGAACCTATGCACCCCAATGTTCATAGCAGCACAATTTACAATAGCCAAGAGTTGGAAGCAACTTAGGTGCACGTCGGTAAATGAATGGACCAAAAAATTGTGGTACATTTATACAATGAAATTCTATGCAGCAGAAAAAAAGAAGGGGCTCCTACCCTTAGCAACAGCACAGATGGAACTGGAAAGCATTATGCTGAGTGAGATAAGCCAGGCAGGGAAAGACAAATACCATATGATCTCACCTTTAACAGGATCCTAAACAACACAAACAAGGAAACAAAATATTACCAAAGGCACTGAAATAGAGAACAGGGGGACAGTGACCAGAGGGAAGAGGGGAGGGAATTTCAGGGGGAAAAGGGGAAGGATTTACAGGAGCAAGTGTAAAGGATACATGGACAAAAACTAAGGGGGGTAGAAATGGGAGGGAGGTGGGGAGAACTGGGGGCTGGGCTGGGTTGGGAGTAAAAGACAGAAAACTGTACTTGAACAATAATTAAATAAATTTAAATATATAAATAATTGAATTTATTGAAGCTTTTAAAATGCAACTATATTAAAAGTAAAATAAAATCAAGCTCTGTGAAACAAACAAAGAAAAAAGATCCTTTAATTTTTCTCCACATAAGCCTTAGTATTGCAAACAATCTCAATTTTTTTCCCCAGGGGAGAATGCTACCCTATATTACTTGTAGCTGAGCTACTTTTAGGATTTTTCAGTAATGTACTGCATATGTTACAGAAAAATTCTATCTCTGGAACTGCCCAGCTGTATTAGTGGCAAGACTGACATGACTAAGAGCAGATGGCCAAGAATAATGCAGACATTCCAAAAACTAGATTGACTTTTTTTCTTTTTCTAGATCCATAAAATAAATATGAGAGTGTAAACCCCTTCCAATTTGATCTGAACTAATATCCATTTTTTTTCTACCAGCAATTTGGAGTTTCATATGGATTTATCATCATCTAAGTTGTGAGAATGTACATTTACCTAAAATGTCTTTCTTCTCCTTTTAGCTCTGTCTGATCTGGAGCTCATTGCCCAGTCTATTATCTTTATTTTTGCTGGCTATGAGACCACTAGCACTTCTCTCTCCTTCCTTATGTATTTATTGGCCACTCACCCTGATGTGCAGCAGAAACTGCAGGAGGAGATTGATGCCACATTTCCCAATAAGGTGAGTGGGTGATACCTGGAGAGGGAGGGAGAAAGTGAAACCTTGCAAGAGTTTCTCCTCACCACTTCCTAGGAAAATTTTTGCAAAGAGCATAAGCATCAGTTCTTTTACCTGTGCTAATTAGGAAGGATATAAAGAAGCAAAAATAAAGAAATATGGGTAATGTATGCTATTTATAGAAAATAAGATCTTTGAAAAAAGCTTTTTTTCTGGCATATCAGTTATCTGTTACCACAATAAATGTCAAGTGAGAATCAAAAAACCTCAGTGGCAATTAAAGATAAACATATATTGCTCAGGTGTCTGAATAGTTAGCTGTGTTGATACTGATTGGATTTTCTTTGATCTAGCCCTCAGTTGATCTGGCTGGGTGGTGCTGCTCTATACATCCTCCACATGTCTCCCATACTCCAGATAACTAACCTGGGTGTGTTCTCAAGTAATGGTCAAGGGAAAGAGCAAGAAGCCCAGTCATATGGGTACCTTCCAGAACTCTGCTTGCATCACACTTAGCCACATTCCATTGCTTCAAAGCAGGCCACATGGCCAATGCCAGCATTATAGTGGGAGGGTACCACAAAAGCAGGGTAGCACAAAGCAGGCCACATGGCCAATGCCAGCATTATAGTGGGAGGCTAAGGGCATGGACACAGGAAAGGGTGGAGAATTGGCACAACCACCCTTGGTAAACATTGCAGACTTGGAGAAGCCTGGTATACAGGAAAGAGCATAGGGTAGGAAATAGAAGACAAGGGTTTGTGTCCAGACTAATTTGGACAGGTTATATGACCTTTCTGAGCCACAGGTCTTTCAGCTATAAGGTAAAGATTTAGAAAGTATATTTCTTCTTTAGGAAAGCCCATATTGGGATTCTTTTGATAGCAATAACATGGAAAGGTCGCTAAGAGAAAGAGACTAGCTAAAGCACTGTGTTCTGCTTTTAAATAGTGATAATACAACAACAAAAACAGTACTAATAGCTAAATTTGCATCTTGATATACATGTCTCCAAGTGGCTTGTTTTAATGTGAATCTAATCTTTAAAAATTCTGTATTACTCAAGATAGGCTAGGTTATGTTTCAGTAACAGATTGGTCCTCAATTCTCAGTGGCTTTACATAGCAAGATGTAACTTCTAATGTTTATATGTCCAGCATGGATTGTCAGAGGAGCATGGGAGTAGGAATCTCTGCTCCACATAGTTACTAGGAAAAATAAGCTAAAAAGGCCCCACTTTCTTGTTGCTGCACTCTCCAGGATACAAGCCATTCATGTTGTTTGAAGAATAAAGAACTAGAGTAATTGCTCAGTAGGTTTCCATATGTTTTGACCCTGAATTGACATATGTCACCTCAGCTCACAGCCCATTCTCAAAGCTGGTTTTCCCTGACTTCAAGTGGGCTGAGAGATGCGGAGACTACATGGGTATTGCGCAAGCTGTGAATACTCTGCCACACAATCTATGAAGTGTCAACTCTAATTATCTCCATGTAACATATCAGAAAACTGAGCTATGGAGAGGTGAAATAACTCATACATGGGTCATGTAGTTAGTGGTGAAGAGGCCACTAACCACACCTTAGCCTCTACAATATTGCCTCTTCAATATAACACCAAGTGATACCAAATATTGCCCACCAAATATCTGTTTTCAGATATCTGACAAACCTGGAATTCTTTGTGGTTGAAAGAGACTAGCCTCTGGGGCTGTAGAGTCTTGTCTGAGATCTTCACAGTTTCCAGTCAACCCCTGAAGCAACAACTAGGAGACTGCTCCAGCAAGATATCATGGGGCTGAGTGGGGTTCCACCTGTTTATAACTTTTACTAGAATGAACTGTTTGCTCTGGTAGCTAGCATCCAGTCCCACCCTTCTGCCATATTTGCTTTAGAAAGGAACTCATTTTTCTCCAAATTATTTATAGTTTCTATAACTATATGATATAGTGTTTCTCTCCAAATTTTAATGAAATTTTTAAAATTTTTATTGCTGTTCAAGTTCAGTTTTCTGTCTTTTCCCCCAACCCCTGCCCACCATCCCAGGCTTCCCCACCTCCCTCCCCTGTTTCCACCCCCACCCTTGGTTTTGTCCATGTGTCCTTTATAGTTGTTCCTGTAAACCCTTCAACCTTTTCCCCCATTATCCCCTCCCCTCTCCCTTCTGGTTACTGTCAGTTGGTTCTTGATTTCAATGTCTTTGGTTATATTTTGCTTGCTTGTTTGTTTGTTGATTAGATTCCACTTGTAGGTGATGTCATATGGTATTTGTCTTTCACCACCTGGCTTATTTCACTTAGCATAATGCTCTCCAGTTCCATCATATATATCATCTAAAGAGTTAGCAAGCAGAATTTTTAAGTTTTATTATTTTTATTTTTTATTGTTGTTTCATTATAGCTCTCCTGCCTTTTTCCCCATTTCTCTCCTCTGTCCTCACCCTGGCACTCCCACAGTCAATCCCCACCCTCATTGTCCATGCCTGTGCAAGCATAATTTTTCAACTAAAAACCTTAATGTCAGATAGGAATTTTGCTCTTTTACATATTCTCTTTCCTTGGTACAGAAGTGTGACCTCTCTTTTTGAAAGGGTACAGTGACATTGGCATATTTCAGTTAAGAGTAAGAGGGATTTCAGGTCCTGTTCAGAGTATTGTCCCAAAGTCTCCCATAGACATAACTACTCCACACATCTCAATGGACTATTAAGCAAGTAAAAGGACATGATAGATATTAAAATGCCTATAAATCCTAAAGCCCTTTACCAATACAAGGTATCCTTTGGAGCTCCTAACATTTCTATAGAACTACATAGACTGAGTTGAAAGTTAATCTCAAACCTCAATTTATCAAAATCTCTTTTTTTCTTCCCAGGCACCTCCCACTTATGATGCCATGTTCCAGATGGAGTATCTTGACATGGTGTTGAATGAATCTCTCCGATTATTCCCAGTTCTTGGCAGACTTGAAAGAGTATGTAAGAAAGATGTGGAAATCAATGGGGTGCTCATTCCCAAAGGGACAGTGGTGATTGTGCCAAGCTTTATTCTTCACCGAGACCCAGAGTACTGGTCAGAGCCTGAGGAGTTCCAACCTGAAAGGTACTGGGCCTCTCAGAAAGGGAAACCTTCCTGATCTGGGCTGCTTGGGACATATATTGATGTCTGTTAGTACAGATGACAAACTTATGGTCATACAATCATTTATATGTACACATTTTTACTTTGCTTTTCTTTTTTGATTTTTTAATTTTGCTCAAGTACAATTGTCTCCATTTTTCCTCCACCACACTCCCCCATGCCACCAACCCCCAACTCCCACCCTCAACCCTCCCCTCCCCTATTGGCTTTGTCCATGGATCCTTTATACATGTTCCTTGATGACGATTACCCTACTTTCCCCCGTTATCCCACACCGCCCTCCCCTCTGGTTGCTGTTTGTTCTTTATTTCAATATCTTTGGTTATATTTTGCTTGCTTGTTTGTTTTGTTGATTGGTTTCATTTATAAGTAAGATCATATGATGTTTATCTTTTACCGCCTGGCTTATTTCACTCAGCACAATGCCCTCCAGGTCTATCCATGTTTCGAAGGGTAGGAGCTCCTTCTTTCTTTCTGCTGCATAATATTCCATTGTGTAAATGTACCACAGTTATTTGGTCCACCCATTCACTGATGGCCACTTAGGTTGCTTCCAGCACTTGGCTATTGTAAATTGTGCTGCTATAAACAGTGGGGTGCAGAGGGTTTTTCATTGGTGCTTCAGGATTCTTTTTTAAAAATATTTTATTTATTTATTTTTACAGAGAGGGGGAGGGAAGGAGAAAGAGTGGAAGAGAAACATTAATGTGGTGTTGCCTCTCATATGTCCCCTACTGGAGACCTGGCCTGTAACCCAGGCATGTACCCTGACTGGGAATTGAATCGGCGACCCTTTGCTTCAGAGGCCTGGGCTCAATCCACTGAGCTACACCAGCTAAGGCATGTTTCAGGATTCTTAGGGTATAATCTCAGCAGTGGAATTGCGTGGTCAAAAGGCAGTTCCATTTTTAAGTTGTTGTTTTTTTTAAGGAAATTCTGTTTTCCACAGTGGCTGCACCAGTCTGCATTCCCACCAAAAGTGCACTAGGATTCCCTTTTCTCCACAACCTCACCAACACTTGTCATTTGTTGATTTGTTTATGATGGCCATTCTGACCAGTGAGAAGTGGTGTCTCATTGTAATTTTAATTTGTATGTCTCAGCAGCTAGTGATGCTGAGTATCCTTTCATATGTCTCTGGGCCTTATATATGTCATAATTGAAGAAGTGTCTTTTCAGGTTCTTTGCCCATTTTTAAATTGGATTATTTGTCTTCCTGGAGTGGAATTCTTTATGTATTTTGGAGATCAAATTTTTGTCAGAGGTATTATTAGCAAATATATGTTCCCATATACTTGATTCCCTTTTTATTTTGCTAATGTTTTCTTTAGTCATACAAAAGCTTTTTATTTTGATGAGTTCTCATTTGTTTATTCTTTCATTTATGTCCCTTGCTCTAGGTGACATATAGGTGAAAATCTTGCTGCATGAAATAGATAACATTTTCCTGCATATGTTCTCCTCTATGACTTTTATGGTGTTATGACTTATATTTAAGTCTTTTATCCATCTTTGAGTTTATTTTTGTTTATGGTGGAATTTGGTGGTGAAATTTTATTTTTTTACCATGTAGCTGTAGAGATCTCCTAACACCATTTCTTGAAGAAGTTATTTTTACTCTTCAAGCATTTTATGCTTCTTCCCCTTTTGTCAAATACTAATTGACTATAAAGACCTGGGTTTATTTCTGGGCTCTATTCTGTTCTATTGATCTGCATTTCTGTTCTTATTCCAGTGCCATACTATTTTGATTACAGTGGCCTTATAATATAGTTTGATATTAGGTTTGTGATCCCTCCTACTTTGTTCTTTTTTTCTCAAAGTTGCTGTGCCTATTTGAGGTTGTTTATAATTCCATATAAATTTTTAAATGTTTGTTCTATATCTATGAAATATGTCATTGGTATTTTAAGAGAGACTGCCTTGAATCTATAATTGCTTTGGGTAGTATGGACATTTTGATAATGTTGATTCTTGCAATCCATGAACACAGTATATGCTTCCATTTATTTGTGTCTTTCTTAGTTTCTTTATTCAAAGTGTTGATTAGTTTTCTAAGTACAGGTTTTTTACCTCCTTTGTTAGTTTTATTCCTAAGTACCTTTTTTGTTGTTGTTGTTGTTGGTGTTGCTATGGCAAATGGGATTTTTTCCCCCTGATTTCTGTTTCTGGTATTTCACTGTTGGTGTACAAAAATGTCTTTGATTTCTGAATATTGACTTTGAACCCTGCTGTTTTGCCAAACTTGCTTAATAGGTTGAGTAGTTTTTAGGTGGAGTGCATAGGGTTTTCTATGTACAGTATCATATCATCTACAATCAGTGACAGTTTTACTTCCTCCTTTTCAATTTGGATGCCTTTTATTTCTCTTTCTTGTCTGATTGCTGTGGCTAGGACTTCCAATACTATGTTGAACTGAAGTGGTGAAAGCAGACATCCTTGTCTTGTTCCTGATTTTAGTGGGAAAGCTTTTAGTTTTTCCCTGTTGAATATGATATTAGGTGTAATTTCTCATATATGGCCTTTATCATGTTGAAGTATGCTCCTTTTACTCCCACTTTACAGAGTCTTTTTTAATCACAAACAGGTGCTGTGCCTTATTATCAAATGCTTTTTCCTCATCTATTGATATGATCATGTGAGTTTTGTCTTTCATTTTGTTTGTGTGATGTATTATGTTTCTTTTTTTAAATATATTTTATTGTTTATGCTATTACAGTTGTCTTCACTCCCCACCACCCCATACTCCCTCTCCCACCCACATTCCCTCACCCCTTTAGTTCATGTTCATGCATCATACATAAAAGTTCTTTAGCTTCTACATTTCCTATACTATTCTTACCATCCCCCTGTCTATTTTGTACCTACCATCTATGCTACTTATTCTCTATACCTTTTTCTTCTCTCTGGTCACCCACTCCCCTGTTGATAACCCTCTATGTCTCCATTTCTGTGGTTCTGTTTCCTGTTCTACTTGTTTGCTTAGTTTGTTTTTGTTTTAGGTATGATTGTTAATAATTGTGAGTTTGCTGTCATTTTACTGTACATATTTTTTATCTTCTTTTTCTTAGATAAGTCCCATTAACATTTCATATAATAGGGGCTTGGTGATGATGAACTCCTTCAACTTGACCTTATCTGAGAAGCACTTTATCTGCCCTTCCATTCTAAATGAAAGTTTTGCTGATAGAGCAATCTTAGATGTAGGTCTTTGGATTTCATGACTTGGAATACTTTTTCCCAGCCCCTTCATGCCTGTAAGGTCTCTTTTGAGAAGTCAGCTGACATCTGATAGGAACTCCTTTGTAAGTGATTGCCTCCTTATCTCTTGCTGCTTCCAGGATGCTGTCCTTCATTTTATCTTGGGTAATGTAATTATGATGTGTCTTGGTGTGTTCCTCCTTGGGTCCAATTTTTTGGGGGACTCTCTGAGCTTCCTAGATTTCCTGGGAGTCTATTTCCTTTGCCAGATTGAAGAAGTTCTTCTTCATTATGCATTCAAATAAGTTTTCCACTTGTGGCTGTTCTTCTTCCCCTTCTGGTACCCCTATAATTTGGATATTGGAATGTTTAAAGATGTCCTGGAGGTTCCTAAGCCTCTCCTCATTTATTTGAATTCTTGTTTCTTCACTCTTTTCTGTTTGGTTGTTTATTTCTTCCTTCTGGTCCACTCCATTGACTTGAGTCCCAGTTTCCTTTCCATCACTGTTGGTTCCCTGTGCATTTTCCTTCACTTCACTTATTGTAGCCTTCATTTTTCATCTAATTTGCAACCAAATTTAACCAATTCTGTGGGCATCCTGATCACCAGTGCTTTGAATTGTGCATCTGGTAGTTTTGCTATCTTTTGGTCACTTAGTTGTATTTTTTCTGGAGCTTTGATCTGTTCTTTCATTTGGGCCTTTTTTTTTTTTGCCTTGACATGCCTGTTATGTAGTGGGGGGTGGAGCCTTAGGCATTCCAGGGGGCAACCCAGTTGCTGGGTTGTGATGCTGTATGTGGGGGAGAGGTCCGAGAGAGAACAACGGTGCTTGCTCAGCTCTCTGCTGGATTTCAGTCACTTCTTCTGCTTTCCCCAAGCACACTGGGTCCTTCTTGTGCTGATTTCTGTATGGGTGGGTTTGTGTATGTCCTGGATCCCTGAAGGTCTCTCTAACACACTCTTCTGTGGGTCCAGGGGGTGTTCTCAATTGGTGTCTTGAGGCTTTAATTTCCGGCACTGGATCCCTGGGTTGTGGGGTTTATCTCATTCCCCAGTTTTGCCTGGTTTATCTGTGTGAGAATGTGGGACCACCCATTTTGCCAGCTATGTTGTGTGCCATGCCCCTCCACAATTTGCCACCTCACTGGGTCCACCAGCTGCCATTGGGTTCCTGGGTCCTCCAGCCACAGCTTTTTGTGCTGAGACCCCTCTCCACTCAGCCACTGGATTCTGCCCCTTCTACTGGTCTGGATGAATGTGTCTACTTTATCTCCTTGGTTGTCGGACTTCCATACAGTTCAACTTTCTGTCAGTACTGGTTAATTTTTTTGTTTCTAAATTTTTGTTGTTCTTATTTTGGTTGTGCGAGGAGGCACAGTGTATCTACCCATGCCTCCATCTTGGCCTGAAGACCGTATTATGTTTCTTAATTTGTGAATATTGTACCATTCTTGCATCCCTGGGATGAATTCCACTTGATCATGGTGTATGGTCTTTTTAATGTACTGCTGGATATAGTTTGTCAATATTTTGTTGAGGATTTAGGCATCTAAATCCTCAATGTTCATCGATGATATTGGCCTGTAGTTTTCTTTTTTTGTTGTGTCTTTATCTGGTTTTGGAATTAGGATGATGCTGGCTTTGTAAAAACAGTTTAAGTGTCTTCCCTCTTCTTGGATTTCTTGGAATAATCTGAGAAAAATCGGAGTTAGCTCTTCCTTAAAAGTTTTGTAAAATTGTCCCATAAAACTGGCCAGTACAAGGCTTTTGTGTGCTGGGAGTTTTTTGATTACTGCTTCAATTTCATCAGCTGTTATTGGTCTGTTCAAGCTTTCTGTTTCTTCTTCATTCAGTTTTGAGAGATTATATTTTTCTAGAAATTTGTCCAATTTACCTTGGTATTCAAATTTCTTGACATATAATTGTTTGTAATAATTTCTTACAATCCTTTTTATCTCTGTGCTATCTTCCATCTTTCATTTCTGGTTTTGTTTATTTGTGTCCTCTCTCTTTTTTTTCTTGATGAGTCTGCTTAAAGGCTTGTTGATTTGTCTATCTTTTCAAAGAACCAGCTTCTGGATTTATTGATCTTTTGGGTTGTTGTTTTAGTGTCTATGTTTTGTAATTCTGCTCTGATCTTGGTGATTTCCTCCCTTCTACTTGCTCTGGGCTTGGTTTGCTGTTGTTCCTGCAGTTCTTGTAGATGTAGGGTTAGGTTGTTTGTTTGAAATGTTTCCATATTGTTTAGGTAGTCCCATATTGCTATTAACTTCCCTCTCAGGACTGCCTTTGCTGTGTCCCATAAGTGTTAGACTGTTGTGTGTTCATTTTTACTTGTTTCCAGAAACATGTTGATTTCTTCCTTTATCTCATTATTAACTCTTTCATTGTTTAATAGAATGCTATTCAATCTCCATGAAATTTGAGTGTTTTTTAGCTTTTTTCTTGAGGTTGGTTTCTAGTTTCAGGCTCTTGTGGTTTGAGAAAATGCTTGATATTATTTAAATTTTCTTCAATTTGTTGAATTCCTTAATATAATTGAATATTGAGGAGTCAAATTTGAATAAAGCTGGGTGTAATCTTCAAGTAATTGACAGCCTAGTGGAACAGATATACAAGGAAATCAGTGATTACACTAGAATAGAGGAGCATCATACAACCATGTAAGTCATATGATTAAGCTATTCAATAGGAGAGAGAGACAATAGAGGATAGGTCAGAGAAGGGGAAGGAAGAAAAACAAAACTAGCAACTTAACTAATGGGAAGTATTATTCTTGCTTCCTTCCTGCATGAGTGTGTGACCAACATGAGTTTTATGGAGCAGGATCCTACTTTTCCTTCAGTTAGTCTCATTTACTACTTGCCTTCCAGAGTATGAATACCTCAACACCCTGAATGTACATTAGTGTTTAAAGGTAAATTTTTAGAGATTAAACCTTTGTCTGAGGTATCATTGGCAAATATGATAGCATGGATGGAACTGAAAAGCATTATGCTAAGTGAAATAAGCCCGGTGGTGAAAGACAAATACCATACAATCTCACCTTTAACAGGAACCTAAACAACAAAATGAACAAACAAGCAAAACATAACTAAAGACACTGAAATAGAGAACAAGCTGACATTGACCAGAGGGGAGAGGGGAGGGAATTTCAGGGGAAAGGGGGAAGGGTTTACAGGAATAAGTATAACGGACACACAAACAAAAACAAGTGGGCCGGGAAATGGGAGGTAGGTGGGGAGGGCTGAGCTGGGAGCAAAAGGCAGAAAACTGTACTTGAACAATAATTAAAATTTAATTAATTAATTGATTAAAAATAAAGAGTGAGAAAAAAGGTAAATTTTCCTTTAAACAGTATTCATATCATCTCTTCAATGAGACTAAAATCTCCTATAGGGTAAAGGGAATGGAAAAGATTGGTGGCTTACAATTCTCACAACAAAATAACCAGAGCAGGATCTCACTGACTAGTCCACACAAGTAGCCCGTGTACTACTGGTTGAGGAGCCTAAGTGAGAACCTCAAACATGTAGCTCTTGTGATGTTCATGTTTTGATAATTGTTTTCATCTACTGTTGTGGAACCAGGTTCAGTAAGTCAAACAAGGACAACATAAATCCTTATGCATACATGCCCTTTGGAAATGGACCCCGGAACTGCATTGGCATGAGGTTTGCTCTAATGAACATGAAGCTTGCTGTCATCCGAATTCTGCAGGACTTCTCCTTCAAGCCTTGTAAAGAAACACAGGTCAGACTCTTAATACATTCCCACTCTGCATAAATAATGCTTGACCGATAGTTTTTCTTAAACAGATACATATATATATATACATACGTGTATTGTATATGTATACATGTATATATGCATATATATGCATGACTGTGCTCATTCATTGTTTAATAATTTATCCTTTTGGCCAGAGAATCTGCAGTCATCTGTGACCTTTAAGATCCTGTTATTCTGGAGTGCTAAGTCTGTGATTTATAAATACCCAACTATAAAGACCATCTAGAGTTAATGCAGTTAGTGTGACATGATGATGCAGAGTCCTTTGAGAAAAGTTTAAATTTGGTTTGAAGTCCACTGGAAGGGAGTGGAAGCACTGTGCACAGCCCTGAAGTGCAATGATAATAATGGGTCATGGCTTTTGAACGCTGTTCTTCTTTACCAGAAGATAGGCTAAGCTGTGGTAGTGGTTCTCAACCCCTGGCTGAACAATGAAATCAGCAGGGAGCTTTGAAAAATCCTATGCCTAGGTCATCTCAGGTTCTAAAATAACTCATCTTGTGTGGGTTTAAAAGCACTTCCTTTAGTTCTCATGTGCAGATGAAGTTGAGAATCACTTGTTAAAGCATTTCTGCCTGATGTACTGAACTCCCACAGTCCAGGGCCATCTGGCTACTTGCACCCTCCTTCTGAGAACCCTTCTGCAATCAAGTTGGGATTGTTTATATCTTAATAAGAGCTCTCTCACGTTCTTGCTCTACTCCTCATTCTGTTCTCATCCTTCAAGTCCTAGTTCACTCCCAAAGCCCCTCCAGGAGCCTTCTCCATCAAGTCTGGAGCCCATTCTGTACTCTGTTCTGTTATTGCTACTGCAGGCTGTTATCATCAGTCATACCATCTCACCTAACTCTTTATAATTAACTCATCCAGTTTGGTTCTTTGTGTTTTCTTTGTACCTAAGAATGTCTTTAACTCTAGCACCTCATTTTATTCTTTTCATAAATTCCCAGTGGTGCCTTATGTCATTCAGGAAATACTTGAAGAGTTTTGTGGTTTTTTTTTTTTTAGTTAATCTGGAGATTTGGATACAAATTTTAAATGATTTAATTAGAAAAATTTAGGGTGGGTGGGCTGGGATGGGAGTAAAAGACAGAAATATGTACCTGAACAACAGTTAAAAAATAAATTAGACAAGAAAAACAACAAACAAAAAAAGAAAAATTTAACAAATAACATTTGCAGTGTGCTTTTTCTATGTGTATTAGTCTGTGTACAGGGAAGGGATATACATTCCATTTGAAATTATAAAATAAAAAGGTTTTATGTTAATAGAATGAACTGGAATCTCTCTTCTGAAGAAGATACAAAATAGCTGCTATTGTCTCATATCAAGCAAGGCCCTATAATAAGGCTTATTTCTAGCACTTATACATTTATTATGTATGCGGCTCCTTCCCTTAAGTAGGCTCTATGAGAGAAGAGGTGGAGAAGGAAGGTGGTTTGCATCTTATTTGTGGCTTTGGGCAGCTGTGTAGCAGTCCTGAAAGTGTGTAAAAACAGGGCCTCAGCCCTGAGGGGCAGTGGGCCTCTGGTATACCTGGGGTGAGGCAGACACTCTCTGCAAGCTCCCAGTCATCAATGGCTGGTGCTTCTCACCCTTCATGACAATTTTCTTGCCCTTCAGTCAATTGAGATCAGAAGGTTACTATATTGGTAGCTCCCCCAACACTGAAGAAGTGACTGAGTGAGAATGGAGATAAAAAATTAGTCTGTTACTTCATAGAAGAATATTATTTGAGTCATTCATTCATTAAGTAGAGAATTTTTATTTTTGAGTATTTCAGGATCATTTGTATTGATTGTTGATAACACTGTATATTTACTGAAGAGCTTTTAATAAAAAGAAAAGTGAAGTAGAGAAAATCAGAATAATGTATGGTCTTCAAAAAGTCACCATTTATATTATACTTGAGAGCCAGGAGATACTAGAAAACAGGCACGAAGTTTCACAAAGAGCTTTTCCCTTCACAAAACTGGAAGGTTTCCACTGGGTTAGATGACTGTGCCCTAGAAGTTGAGGATGACCCATACAATGAAAACATGTAATACATATTCAGGATTACTTTGCACACAAAATTAACTCTATATGAATTTTCCAAATAGCTCGCCAGAATGCCAAAGAATCTGGCTTTAAGAACTCATTGTTTTTACTTAAAGTTTTTTTAAAATAAAAAACAAACACAAAACAACATAATTTTGTCTCTGGCCTGGCACAGAATAGTTGCTATATTGATATTTTCTTCAAAGTATGTATCAATGAATGATTTTACTGACCAGTCTCGACACAGCTTACCACATAAGTAAAAAGAATCAGAGATATATTATGCTAAGGTAATTTTATGTAGTTGTAAAGCATTATCATCCTCTACATATCTCATCTATTTTGCTTCTGTTTTGACAGTGCTTCGTTAACTCATTCTCATATGCTATTTAACATTTGCAGATCCCTCTGAAAGTAGAATCTCAAGGAATTACTCAACCACAAAAACCCATTGTTCTAATGGCTGAATTGAGAGATGGGACTGTAAGTGGAACCTGAATTTCACCTTGTTCTTCAAGGGAGCTGCGTCCGTGGCACCTGAGATCTTGATTACTTTGTGAATAAAACCCAGAAATGAACTTAACCTACTGTACTTGATAAATAACCAGGGATCCTGTATATTCATTTATTTTCCCAGTGTCTGCATAGAGTATTATGTATTGGATATTATAGGGGAGGTGAGTAAATAAGTGCCAGATATAGCAACCCATCTTATTGGATTCTGATTACACTATCTTCATCCATCCCCACTTAATACCATCTACTTTTCCTTAGCACTAATCAAGAATAGAAATTTCTTTACAATTTCACCAACAAACTTTAATGGAAACGAGAATTATTGTGGTAAAGGTAGTAGTGACATTTTTTAAAAATTTTATTTAGTTATTTTTTTCAAGTACAGTTTTTTGTCTATTTCTCCCATCCCAGCCCCCCCTGCCCCATCTCCCCACCTCCCTCCCACTTCCTCCCCCCTAGACCTCATCTCTGTGTCTTTCACACTTGCTCCTCAAAATCCCTCTCCTTTTTCTCCCTTAAATTACCTTGCCTCTCCCCTCTGGTCACTGCCCACTTGTTCTCTATTTCAGCATCTTTGTTTTTATTCTGTTTGCTTGTTTGTTTTGCTGTTTAGCTTCCTGTTAAAGGTGAGATTATATGGTATTTGTCTTTCAATGCCTGGCCTATTTCACTCAGCATAATGCTTTCCAGTTCCATCCATGTTGTTGCAAAGGGTAGTAGTAGTGACATTTTTATCAAATGTTTTATGTTAAATATTCTACATTCTGTATTAGAAGAGATAGAAATATTCTCAATAAATATCTCTTCATAATAGTATTATCTGATGCTTTTGTGCACCATGGGGGAAATCTATAGAACAAAAATCAGTGGGAGCCAGTGACTAAACAGTCACTGGTTGCATAGGGCCTTTTTCAGAATTCCAATTTGATATATTAAGGTAGGTGAGGGGAAAAGGGTGGCACAAGGTCTGGCTACATAGAGGAGGATTGATCAAATAAGTAAATGTATTGTAGATAATGGAAACCACGCTCCTCATTATTGGAGAAGAATGTCACTGATTCAGAAAGAGAAAAAAACCTCATGAACCCTCTGGGCTCATAGATTGAAACTGAATATATTGTGTAAGTTCATGCTTTTCTATATAGCTAGGTAGATGTGTATGGGTGTGCATACATGACTGTGAGTACACACATATAAAGGTGTAGGGTTCCAACAGTTATCCTGATGGGAACGTAATGATTACCACTGCTAGTTGGTGTGGTAGTTGAGAGAGAAAACTTTCCCTGAATGCATTAACCAGATCTGACACTTACAAGCTGGGTGTCCTAGTTATTTAAACTTGACAAACCTCAGATTCTTCATCCGTGAAGCTGGGATGATAATAGTACCTACCTCATGGGGTAATTGTGAAAATTATAGAGGTTAACCAATATGAGACTCTGAGAATTATTTCAGGTACATGGTGAACCAACAGTACTGGCCATTGTCATTAAGATTCATATTTTTCTATGCACCCCAATGTTCATAGCAGCACAATTTACAATAGCCAAGAGCTGGAAGCAACCTAGGTGCACATCAGTAAATGAATGGATCAAAAAATTATGGTACATATACACAGTGGAATTCTATGCAGCACAAAGAAAGAATAAGCTCCTACCCTTTGCAACATCATGGTTGGAAATGGAAAGTATTATGCTGAGTGAAATAAGCCAGGTGTTGAAAGACAGATACCATATGATCTCATCTTTAATAGGAAGCTAAACAACAAAACAAACAAGCAAGCAAAATAAAAACACAGACACTGAAATAGAGAGCAAGGGGGAAGGGACTAGAGGGGAGAGGGGAGGGAATTTCAGGGGGAAAGGGGAAGGATTTACAGGAACTAGTATAAAGGACACATGGACAACAACTAAGGGGGGTGGAAATGGGAGGGAGGTGAGGAGCATGGGGGGTGTGGGCTGGGCTACTTAACAGAAAACTACTTAACAACCCTTGTTTTAAAGGCTATTTTTGTCTTATACAACTATTGATACCCCAGCTGTTTTTTTGTTTCTATTTGCATGAAATATCTTGCAATTCATCTTTTTACTTTAAGTCTGTGTGTGTCTTTGGATCTGTAGTGAGTCTCTTGTAGGCAGCAGATGCACAAGTCTTGTTTTCTTCTCCATTCAGCCACCCTGTGTCTTTTGCCTGGAATGTTTAATCCATTTATACTTAAAGGGATTGTTGATAGGTGTGTAGTTAGTGCCATTTTATTAATCATATTTTTATGTTCTTCTTTAAAAAGTTCCTTTAATACTAGTTTGGTGGTGCTGAACTAATGCTGTTTGTCTGGTAAGTTCTTTGTCTGTCCTTTGATTTAAAATTATATCCTTGCTAGGTAGACTAATCTTGGTCACAAGTTTTAGCTTTCATTGCTTTGAGTATTTCACACCAATCCCTTTGGCCTGTACATTTTTTGTTGACAATCTTATGGGAACTTGTTGCTAACCCTCCATGCGATCTTCATTTCTATGGTTTGCTCCTGATCTAGCTGTCCTCTTAGTTTGCTTTTGTTTTAGGTGTGGTTGTTAATAACTGTGAGTTTAATGTCCTTTCACTGTTCACTTTTTTATCTTCTTTTTCTTAGATAAGTCCCTTTAACATTTCATATAACAAGGGCTTAGTGATGATGAACTCCTTGAATTTGATCTTCCCGCCACTGGGGCCTGCACAGTCTGTCTCACTGCACACTCCTTCACTGGTTTATCTGCTTGGAAATGTGTGACAGTGGTCAGCCCTCAGTGGGTCCTCCACCTTACTCCCTCACTCGGTCCGCCCGCTGCTACACCACACCTGGGATCCACCCATTGCCGGCATGCCTGGGTTGCCCACCCTGGTCAGTTCAGTGGATCTTTCCTGCCCGACCCCACTCTACTGCTGGCTCCGCCCCTCTTACCAGTTTGGCTGAAAGTTTTGTTTTTGTCAGACTTCTGTATAGTTCAATTTTCTGTGGTTTGGCTGTATTTTTGTCACTAAAACTTTGTTGTTTTTAAACTTGGTTGTGAGAGAAGGCAGAGTGTTTCCACCTATGCCTCCATCTTGGCGGAAGTCCTCCACCTAATGTATTCTTTATCTCAGTTATTGTACTCTTATTCTTTATTTCTGACTGGTTGTATAGTTCTCACTGAGCTCATCTATTCTTCCCCCTAAGTTCATCCAGCATCCTTATCATCAATGTTTTGAAGTCTGTCTGTAGATTTTATGCCCTCATCTTGTTTAGTTCTTTTCTGGAATTTTGTCCTGTTCTTTCATTTGGGGCATGTTGGTCTCTTCAGTGTGGCTCTCTCCCTATTTTTGTTTCTACATAGTAGGGGGATCTGATACATCTCCCAGCATTGGCAGGTGGCTTTATGCTGTTGAGGCCCTGTGGGGCCCTGTGGCACAGTATCCCTGGTCACCTAAGCTGGGTGCTTCAGGAGTGTTCCTTGTGTGTGTTGTATGCCCCCTCTTGTTGTAGTTGAGACTTAATTGCTGTTGGCACATCAGTGATGGGATTGTCTTCAGGCTGACTGGCAATGAGTACTAGCCATAACTAGAGCAGATGAGCTCTTATGCAAGGGCTGACCCCCACAGAGGGGGATTCTCTTTAGGGGGAGGCTCTAGTCTGCTTAGTTCAGCCTTTGGGTATGTCATTTGTGTAGGTAACTCTGTCGTGCTCTAGTTTGATATGAAGGTGGCCACCAGGTGTATTAGTTTTGGGGCCTCTTGGGAGTGGATCTGGTGAAAACCAACATTAGCCACTGCCTGTGTCTGGCCTGGATCTACCTGATAGGACCTACAACCTGACCTGCAGTTGGTAGCTGCTTATTCTGGACTTGGATGTTCCTGGGAGAGGTTATGCTGTGAACTAAGGCTTTCTGACACCAGTGTCAGGCTTACAGCCACTTAGCAAGAAGTACAGGCCACACCAAGGCCAGCTGCTGCTTGTTTAGGGCTTGTGGCCCTTGAGAAATTTTAGGAAAGTCTGAATCATGGGCCAAGGATGGATGTTTGTGAGGATCAGCCTCTAAAATGAGGGGGTGCAAGAGCTGGGTGAGGTGAAATCTCACAGCATCACCAGGATGGGGCAAGGAATGTTAGCCAGGTTGATGGACATTCAGACTTGGGGCCTACCTGTGTCTACAGGCTGGGGAGGGAAGGGCTCAAAAGAACAATGGAGCCTGCCAGCACTTCCACCTGTGCCTGTCAGCTCTGAGGGAGATGGACTGAACAATGAAACAATCATACTTGCCAGCACTTCTATCCCAGAGAGAGCTTCCCTTCCAGCCCTTGCCCTGAACCAAACAATGCAGTTTCTCCTTATGCAATCCCTTTTTTGAGCTACTGCTCTTTCACTGGCACTTAGGGTGTGCATTTGTGAGCAAGTGAGTCTGTGCTAGGGACATTTCAGAGGATGCCTGGATCCACAGCAGCCATGCATTACATCTGAAAGGAGTCCCTGCTGATTTTCACAGCCAGATATATTGGGGACTCCTCTCCTGGCACTGGTGCTTTGGTCTGAATAGCGGGGTTGGGACTCTCTCATTCCCCAGGGCAAAACCTCCACAGTTGATTTTTCATAGGAAATCAAGAGATATTCCTCTTGATTCTAACCACACCTAAGTGGGACCAGCCCATTTCAGTTTCCTCCTCCTACCAGTCTTAATGCTGCTTCTTTATATCCT